CAAGCAGCACTTCCCTGAGATCCTCAGGAGAACCTCTGAGCTTTCGGAGGTGGTCTTTGGTGTTGAATGGAAAGAAATGGACTCCAGCAGCAACTCCTACATCCTTGTCAGCAAGGTGGGCCTCTTTAGTGAAGGAAGTCTGAGTGGTGATAAGATCTGAAGACAGGTCTTCTGACGACACTCCTGGGTGTGATCTTCATGAAAGGCAATCATGCCACTGAAGAGGAGGTCTGGGGCTTCCTGTATGCAGTGGCAATCTATGCTGGAAGGAGGCCTATAATCTTTGGGGAGCCCTGGAAGTTGATCATGGAAGATTTGGTGCGAGAAGAGTACCTGGAGTACAGGCAGGTTCACAACAGTGATCCCCTGTGCTGTGAGTTCCCTTGGGTTCCACGAGCCCATTTGAAACCAGCAAGATGAGAGTCCTGTAAGTTTTGGCCAAGATCAATGACACTCTCCCCATTTCCTTCCCAAATCTACATGAAGAGTTTTTCACAGATGAGGTAGAGAGAGCAATGAGCCTGAGAGCTGCACACAGAGCTGGCACTGTTCCCTTGGCCAGAGCTGGCACTGTTCCCTTGGCCAGGGCACTTTATGGGACCACATCCTATAGATCCTTCCACTTCTAGGGAGGTCTGAAGTAGAATGTTCACTTTATGTTAGAAGAGAATAGTGAGCCATTTAAGTAATGCAGCATAGCTGATGCTGGAGGGAACAAGATGTGTATCTTTCTTTTTTCCAGTTATACCTGGGTAACCTGTAGATTTACCTTTTGTTTTCATTATTATTTTACAAATGTTCTTTCTTTTAAGTGAAGATTTAAATTGTTTCACGATCTAAGTTTCTTAATGTCATAGATCACATTAAAAGGTTTGTTATTTTAAAACAACACTTTATTTTTAGTGCAGAATAAGATAATGTGGCAATGGAATAGAGATCTTCATGGAAATGTGAAAGAACCCAACAGCAAAATAGTTGAGATCACAAATAGTAAAACAAAAGTAGAGTGGTAGATTTGTGTTTTTTCCTAGCCTTTTTGCTCATTGCTTGTAATATTAAATTATATAAACCTGTATTTACTTTGTGTATTCAAACTGGATGAGAAATTAAATAATAAATTAGACTTCCTGCTTACTGTTTTTATTATTTTTTAATTATTGTTTCCCAACAAGTAATTGAGTACCTGCTGTTTAGAAGCCTTCCTGATAGTACTAGTGACGGTAAAGAAAAGGAGATTCAGCTTCTGCCTAGAATTTTAGAGTCAAACAGCAACTAACATATAAGGAAGATGATGAGATTCCATCTAAGACATAAATGAGAATTAAAAAGAGGGGATAAGGAAGAGAAGATTTCACATGAATATAGTCAAAGGTAAACTATCTGACAAAGGCAGTTCAGAGTACAGGTATTGATGGACTTACGACCTATGCAACTGACGACCATTTGACTTTACGACCACAATCGCTAGCCATGACTGCTCCGCGTCTGGCAGCGCAAACGTTGCCCAGCTGGACGTAGGACAGTGCAGACCAGCTTCTGGCAGCACTACCATCTCCACGTGCATCATTTCAACTGTACATATAGCCTACTCAACTTACAACCAAATCGTGTTACGACCGTTCCGCGGTCCCGACCGTGGTTGTAAGTCGAGCACTAGCTGTATTAGAAAACGGCAAGTCTCTTGATGGGAGTTAATTTAAGGGAAGCTGCAGTTTGGGCTGCATGAGGCTGTGGGAGTGGCGAGCATGGGCCTGGCCCTCAGATGGTACCTCTCAGAGGTGAGAAACTACCGCTGAGATGGAAAGCAAGTCTTAAAAGTTATTTTGACACTGTAGGTATACCAGAAAGAAATCCCCAGCTGGGCTAGGAAGGGAAAGAGACCTGTGCAGTTGCCCCAGTTCACACACTGTGTCTTCCGGGCACATGATGTCCAGGGAGTTTCTGAGAAATATGAGTGATACTTCCTTTACATGAAATGCCAAGACGCCACTGAACCATCACCCTGTCACTGGCTGGGAGAGCTAAAGTCTGCTCCATTAAAAAGACATTTGAATTAGGTTACTTTGTAATTTTTTCAAACTCTAAGAGAGGGCATGGTTTCTGGTGGTGACGAAGTGAATAAAAATAGGGGCAGTTTGGATGGAAAAGTGACCTGGGAAGTTTCTGGTCCCTATCACAAAAAAGGAATTTTGAGTAGCCTCCAGCTAAAGAAGACAAGTCCACAGCCAAATTAAATAACAGATGCTCTAATGAGGAAACACTACTCAGTTTTACTGGCTTGGCAGCATTTCAGCAGATGTCGATTTCTGTTGTTTGGAGTATTCTCTAATATATTCTGGAAATAAAATTCTGTGAGGGAAGATTGTTATCATCTTGAGTCAAAATACATTTAGTAATAATTACCATTCATTAAAGACCAAAACTGCCTAAAACGATGTCAGGTGATTTACGTACTATATATATATATATATATGCCTAAATTCTATAAGATGGTATAAGATGGGGTTTATCAAATTGACTTTGCAGGTAAAAAACTTAAAATTTTCTCAAGTTCACAAGACTGGTAAGTGAGAGAACTAGACTAGACCCTGGATCTGAATTTCTCTAGAGTCCACACTGTTCCACTTCTTCCAGCCTGAGGCAGACCTCGTGTTACTTATTTTCTGCTCACTACTTCAAAACATATCTCAGGTGATACAAAGCAAGACTTCAAACCCCAAATACTGTTTTGGGATACATAGCCCAAGGGATAAGCAATAAAAATACCAAAATGAATGCAAGGGGTGACTAAAGAAAGATATTTGTTGACAATATCATTATCTGCAATGTCAATGTCAGAAACCTCAAAATACTAGGGACTCACAAAATCATTTGACTCAGCCTCTTTACTGTAGAAAGTAAATATATTTGAACAGAAGTTACATAAGAAGCGAAGTCTGCCTAGTGACAAGAAGGGATGTATCAGCAATTTTATTTTTCTCTGAAGGCATACCTGTCCAGCACTTTCTGCTTTGTGCTTCAACTTTCGCATCTCATATCATTCTTAGGACACATCCTATTCTCTGCAATGTTTGCAGAGGGAAAACTAATGAAGAGTTCGGAATTATGTGGCATTTCTCCAGAAGCCTCTAATAGAAAGTGTAGAAACCCAGATGAAGACTGATGAATGACAACTAAAGAAACAAATACCCCATAGTAAATGGAGTAACAGAGATCAGACTGTGTCTTCTTTTAGACCTGGAAGACTGAAGCCGGGCTGTTAGGCTATTTCTCACTTATTGTTCAGCGTTCTCAGGAACATAAGAGCCTTAGTCTACATGAGTGACCTAAAGTTGAAAGGAGAAACTCAAGGCCTGCAAGGAGTCAAGGTGAGGACCATGAGTGAGGACTGAGGAAAGACCTCTACCCTCCACAGAGCCCCAAGGAGCCTGAATCTTGATGTAATCCCTGGGAGAGCATAGATAGAGGTGGCCTCATGTGGCATTTCCTATTTTTGTTCTGGGGCCTCAAGGAGTGGGAATCTTGGTCTAAGGCTTTGAGACTCAGACAATAAAGGGAGATGTTCATGCCCTGTGAGGAATCAAATGCAGAATCATGAGTGATGACTGAGGGGACCACAGATACCATAACAGGGAGGTGGCATAGAACCTCCCCCTGCCATCAACGCTGGGAGGCCTTGGGCAGAGCTGCCAGGCTGACTTCAACAACAAGGGTTTCAGAGATGTGAGTGGTTAGTCTGAGGTAAGGGTCCTCAAGTAAACAAAAAGAGTCCAAGGCCCTGCCATGAGTCAAGGTGATGGTCCCTAGTGAGGACTGAGGAAACCTTCCACCTTCAGAACTAAGAGAACCACACAGAGCCCCACCATTACTGGCAGCCCTGGAATACAACTGCATTGTTGACATGATGTGGCATACTTCCTCATATGATGTCACAAGAAAGTAAGGAAGTTGGTCCAATGATTGCGAGTTACGGTCAGCAGTTAGAGGATTTCCAGGTTTCTGCAGAGGCCACAGTGCATATCCTAATAACTGAGGGGACCACATACCCTATGATTGGGAACACACAGAATCAAACTGTTGCTCTCAGCCTTGGAAAAATGAGGACAGCTAAGAACAAATAAGAACAGATGAGAAGACCACTGCATTCCCCTTAGTGAAGGTTTCAGGGTCATTTTGTCTTTAGTATGAGGGGATAGGCCTTAGGACAAGGGAAGGAGAAGTTCCAGACCACACGAGGGGTCAAATCAAGTGCTGAAGGAACCATCAACCACTAAATAAAAGGGTTAAAAAAGAATCTGGCCCTACCCTGGTCTCGATGCTTGAAGGGCCAGGGCAGAGTTGTGAAGTGGAAGCTCTCCACCACTTCTTTATGTCAGGTCTATGTGAAGTGACATCCTGAGTCTGAAGGTACAGTAGTCACCATTCAAATGAAGGGAGTTGGGCTCCTAGGCCCCATATGCCAATGTAAGGACTCCAAGAGAGAACTGATGATCACAGAAAGGCCAGGACAGAAAATTATCCACGCAGCAGTCAGCACTGTGGGCACCCAGGCACCAGTGATAAGCTGAGGACCCCCTTCGCATCCTTCTTATGGGTCCCAGGGAGGTTTGTGGTATAACTGAAGAGGAAATGGTTCTCATGACCCGCCACCAGTTGGCATGATTGTCTTGAATGTGAAGTAAAAAGACCCCTCAACTCAGAAGACTGGCAGCCACTATGTCACTTTAATATGCCAGAGGCAGGGCTGCCAGGCTAAAGTCTACGGTTCAATCTAACTTCTTCCAAAGGTTTCCCAAGGGACACACTGATCAGGAGAACAGAATCCCAGCGGGTTCCTAAGCAGTTCCATCATGGAAAACTGCAAATGCTGTTTTTATTGTAACCATGGTGGAATTTCCACACTGAAGGTGCACAGATCTTCTCAACCTTCCACCTCCAGTGGGCCCTCTTGATCTGTTCTACTATTCATTTCCTGCCTGCTGTCCTTTATCCGAATCATCATGTGTCAGGATCAGAAGATTAAGCTCCACACTTGTGAGAAGGTGGGTTTGTTGGAGGAGTTCCTGCTCTACAAGTTCAAAATGAAACAACCTATTTTGAGGGAAGATATGCTGAAGATTGTCAGCCCAAAATACCAAAACCAGTTTGCTGAGATTCTCAGAAAAGTTTCTGAGCACATTGAGGTTGTCTTTGCAGTTGAAGAAGGTCAACCCAGCTCGTCACTTATATGACCTTGTCAGCAAGCTGAAACTCCCCAACAATGGGAGGATTCACGCTGGCAAAGGGTTATCCAAGACTGGTCTCCTGATGACTCTCCTGAGTGTGATCTTCCTGAAAGGCAACTGTGCCAGTGAGGAAGATATCTGGCAATTTCTGAATATGAGGCAGATATGTGTTGGGAAGAAGTACTACCTCTACAGAGAGCCCAGGAAGCTCATCACTCAGGATTTTGTGAAGCTAAAATACCTGCAGTACTGCCAGATGCCCAGCAGTTATCCTGCACACTATAAATTCCTGTGGGTTACAAGAGCCTACAGTGAAACCAGCAAGATGAAAGTCTTAGAATATTTGGCCAGGGTCAGTAATATTGCTCCAGGTACCTTCTCTTCATGAAATGTAGAGGCTTTGATGGATAAGGAAGAAAGAGCCTAAGCCAGAATTGCAGCCAAGACTGGCACTACTGCAGTGGCCAAGACTGTTTTGAGGCCAAGTTCAACAGCTTCTCCCAACCCTACTGAAGTCTGAAGTTTTTTCATCCAGTCAAGCAAATATAACATCACCAAAAGGGATTGTTTTGGAAATACAAAAGAACCTCCAGTAAAATAATTGAGATGATGAAATAGAAAAAAATGATAAAACATGATCAATCTTGGTTTTTCTCATTCCTTTCAGTCTTTTGTTTTATATAATTAAATGGTTGATACCTTGATATGTTTAGTTTGTTAAAAATGTAGGAGAAATTAAATCTTTATAAGTTAGATCTCTTCCTCACTGTGTCTCACATTCCCGAAACATCATTTGAGTATCTGGTCTTTGGAAGGTTCTGTGACAGTACCAGAACTGCTCAGATAAAGATCCAGCTTCTGCCCATAGAATGGTTGAGGCTAAAAGCTACAGTCATATAAAGTAAATGTTGAGCCATCCTCTATGACTTACAGGAAAGTAGAAAGGATTAGTGAGAAGGGGACATTCCAGTTGAGAGCAGTAAAGCATACATTTCATGGAGCAAGGCAGTTTGAGTTTGGGGAAACTGAAAGCCAAACAATGTGTTGAAACTTTTAAAATTAGCTGCATTGAGGTGTTAGATGAGGCTATGAAACTTGTAAGCAGAGGTCAGAACCCTCAGATGATGTATCTCAAAGTTGAGAGAGAAAACCCTTTAATGGAAAACTACACTGTATTATAAAGCCCCAAATCAAGACCTAATACTATATACTACTTTAGATTTTTCAAGTGGCCCAACTGGAAATTCCTCTCTACACTATGCACTTGCAGATTAGGTCCCTTAGTCAAACAATCATCTTTATTAACAGAACCAGGCACAGATCTTGTTTTCTTTCCCTGGCAGCCTTCAAAATTATTCACACAAGCCAATCATATCTTCCTATGCGAACTAGAGGTCACCTTTCCCTCTTGTCTCCAAATCCTGCCTCCCAGAGACCTTATTCATTCACTCTGTTCCTGAGTGCAACCCTTGCTTGACCCTGTATGGTATGTGGTGTACTGCTACCCTGCCCTGTGAATATATGTGATTAATAAACTGCTGTTGACCTCATCTGTACAGCACCCAGTATTGTGTGTTTGAATACCATATAACCATAATGTGAAAAATCCTTCCTCACTAATAAATAGGACACCACTAAAACATGCTCTTATGAATGCCTTTGGGATCATAGATAATCTAGAAAGAAATCTTTAGATTTGGACTAGTGGCTTACACAACAAAAGTTTATTTTCTCACAATTCTGAAAGCTGTAAGTCCAAGATCAAGATGCCAGCAGGGTTGGTTTCCTCTGAGGCCTCTCTCAGCTTGCAGAAGGCTTCCTGCTTGCAGCCTCTTTACATTGTTGTTCTTTTGTGTGTGTGCATCCCTGGTATTTCCTAGTGTGTCCTAACCTCTCCTGTGCAGGACACCAGTCAGATTTTTAAAAAGTACTCTAACGGCCTCATTTTAACTAATCACCTGTTTAAAGACCTTATCTCTGAATACAGTCACATTCTGAGGTACTGGGGGTTAGGACTTGAGCTTATGATTTTGAGGTTGGTTGCAAAATTCATTTTATAATAGGCAGGAGTGGGAGATATCTTTGCTCTTATCTCAGTGCTGTAGAACGCAATGCACAAACTACGTGTTCTATGCAAATTATCTCCAGGGAGTGTCTCCAAAATAAGAGTGAGATGCACAAAAGCCACTGTGTTGGCTTTTTCTTTTTACCTTGAACTAGAACTAGATCCTACTAGAAAAAGACATTCTAATTAGATTATAGTGAGTACAATTTGGCAAGTTCTAATGGAGGGCTAGATTTCAATGAGAAAGAAATGAATGAAAATATAGGTGGTTTAAATGGAAGGGTGACTGAGATGCACTGAAGGAGTTAGTCCTTAACAAAATTCTAAAACCTCTTAATTGTATCTAGATGGGGAAGAACCCCAACATCCAAATTAAATAATGGATGCCCTAGTGGATAAAATCTAATTTTACTTGCTAGAGCAAATTTTTGGCTGATTTGGTGTTGTTTGAGAGCACTGCATTTTCTCTGACATATCCTAGATTTAAAAAAAATTCTCAGATAAGAGAATGGTATTGTCTACGTAAAAATAATCATAAATAAATTCCATTTATTAAACACCTAACATTTTCCAGTGATTATGAAAGATTAAGTCTGAGTGACAAAGAGAAGTAGATCAGTGTGTGTTTTCTGACAGCCACCTCCTATCCCAGGACTTCTGCCTTGTTCTTCAGCTTCCCCATTTTACATCACTCCACTTGGACACAGACCTATTTTCCTCAAGATTTTCCAGGGGTATGGCATTTCCCAGGAAGCTTTCCATTAAAGAGACGGAAGCCAAGGATGTCAGGGCCTTGTTGCAAACGGCTCTTGTTGAAGTAAGGCTCTAAGAGGAGTCAAACTCAAAAACCTCTATGAGACTGAGGGAACTCCCCACTCCAGAACAGAGAAGGCACCATAGATGTCACCCTTGCAGTCAGCCTTCAGAACCCGTTCGCTGGGGATCTGGGTAGCACCCATTTCCTCCTGTGGGTCACAGAAAGGTGAGGGACTTGGCCTAAGGCAGGCCACAATAGCAAAAGTGCAAGCAAGTGAGGGGTTTCAGGCTCAGGCACGAGTAAAGGTGAGAATACTGAATGAGATTAAGAGAACCACGAGCCACTGAAGTGCGCACTGGGCCTTCTCCCCCTAAAAGCCTGACCCATGTTCTCAGTCTTGGGAGGCCCTGAACAGAGTAGGTAGGCTGAGTTGTGTGCTCATTTCTACCTCTAGGACCTCAGGAAGATGAGGGCCTTGGTAAAAGTATGTGAACCCAGAGCAGCTGAGGAAGGAGGAACAAACCTTAGCAGCAGTCAAGGTGAGGACACTTAGGTGGAAAATCCCATCAAGCCCTTATTTGCAGCTCCCTGAGAACCCAAACATGGATGTCAAGTTCATGTGAGCTCTCCTTTCCTACTTGATGACACCAGGGCGCTGAGGGCCTTGGCCTGGAGCAGGCAGGGGACAGAGGGCTAAGGTCAGCATAGAAAGGAGTACCATGCTCTTTGGGGAATCAAGAGCAGAAGCTTGAGTGATTTCTGAGGGGACCACTGATCTCAGAAGTGTACAGTAACACAAAATCTGTTCCTGCCATCAACCTTAGGAGGCCCTAGGCCAGGTTGACGTCAAGGATGGTCTCAGAGATGTCAGGGCCTTGGTCTAAGGGAAGAATCCTCAAATCAGCAAAGAAAAGCATCCCAGATACAGCCAGGAGTCAAAATCAGTACCCTACATGAAGACTGAGGGAACCCCTGCCCTTCTGGCACTCTGGGATGCCTGTGTACTGGTTATATGACTTCTACTCATTTCCTCCTATGGTATGGGGGTGGTTATTAGTAACGGTGGTGAGGGGTTTTGCCTAAAGTAGATGGCCTGAGGTCTGCAGTAGGAAAATTTCCAGGCATTTTTAGGAATTAAGGTGAACACATGGTGTCAGAGGGGATCATCAAATCAGCCTTGGAAGACCACAGGCAGGTGAGGTGGTGCCTATATCTTAGTAGAGAGTCTCAGGAGATTCTGGTAGGAATAGAGAAACCCTGCGCCATGTCAAGAGACAAAGGAAGGGTTGGGAGGACCACCACCATTGACTAGATAATAAAGCATCTGTGCCCCACCCTTGTACTCAGTACTTAAAGGACCAGGGCAGCACTATCAGGCTGAGGCTCCTCCCTACTTCTTTATACACACACACACACACACACACACACACACACACAATCTAAGGCAGATGAAATATTTGGTGTGTGGTTGTAGCCACAAGTTAGCAAAAGGGATGTCTTCCAGGTACTACCTGGAGATCAGGTGGGTTTCTTGAATGAAAACTGAAGAACCAAGCATCCCATGACAGAGACACCTCCACATAGCTCCCAGGGGGTACCCCCTGACAGAGATGGTGGACTGAGAAGCTCCTTCACTTTATCTTCTGGGGTCTCAGGGAGGTGCTGGCTTTGGTTTGAGGTGTCAACTTCAGAGCAGCAGAAGGGAGGGGAACCAGGGACCACCAACAGTTGATATGATTATGATTGTGAACTTAGAAGACCCCCACATTCCAAAACAGAGAACCCCCCTTACCAACCTTTGCCACCATCTCAGTACACCTAAGGCAGAGTTGGCAGGCTGCAGCCTAAAACTTACTCTCACTTTATCCACAGGGTTCTCAGTGGGCAGGCTGACCAGGAGAACAGGAGCTCCATGGGTTCCTAAAGCAGTGCTCTTGGAAACCTGTAGAGGCAGCCTTTGTTAAAGCCACAGTAGTTTCTCCCTGCTGCTGGTGCTCACACCGTCTGATTCTCCCTCCTTCAGGTGCCCACATTGCCAGCCATGTCACCCACACTTTTTCCTATTCTGCCTAACCAGAGTCATCATGTCTTGGTATCAGAAAAGTAAGGTCCATACCCACGAGAAATGTCACCAGACTTGATGTAAGACTCAGGGTAATGGGGGTACTCAGGCAATAGCAGTGGCAGCAGAAGAGTCTCCTCCAACCTCATTTCCTCTTTGTGTAGGTGTTACTGAGAGCCTACATACTGCTGTGTCATGTAGCACTTTGAAGGGGCCTCAGAAAGCCTCATTCACCAGTACTTACACAGGCATCTTTTGCACTAGATCTGCTAAAGTTCCCAATGGCCAAAATGAGGAAGAGAAAAGTACAGCTGAGGCCTCACTTTCCAGTTAGAACTCATGCAGAGACTCTCGAATCAAGAAGTTATGTTGTTGGAGCAGTTCCTGCTCTACAAGTATAAAATGAAACAGCCCGTTATAAAAGAAGATATGCTGAAGGTTGTCAGCTAAAAATACCAAAATCAGTATGCTGAGATCCTCAGAAGAACTTCTGATTGCCTTTGCAGTTGATATGAAGGAAGTCAATTCAACCCATCACTTATATGACCTTGTTATGACCTTGAAAAGCTAAAAATTTCCAACAGTGGGAGGGTGTGTGGTGGCAGGGCTTTACCCAAGACTGGTCTCCT